TGGAGGCGGAGGCGGAGGTGGTGGCTCGGGGAAATCACACAATCAGCAGTTATTAGGGCTACCTCGGAAGTCACGAGACAGAAGGCTATATAACACAAGGAAACAAAAAAAATAAATAAAAAAAAGGGCAAGCGAGAAAAGGGGGGAAACGCAATGTAACCTTTTGAGGGGGTGGTTAAAGGGGGAAAGGGGAACAGCTAACCGGATATGCTGCTCCTTTTGGTGGTTGCCTGTTCCCGAGACATGACTGTTAGTGACTAAGCTCGCAGGATATACGAGGATGTTGAACGGAAATCGAAAAGCAGCCGGAGAGAGAGACAGAGGCGGACGTTCTCAAGAATATTGCCAACAAATCTTGCCGAGACAAAAACAACAAGCAAGGACCAAGGACGAAGTCAGCAGGACGCAGGCAATCATCGGGGAATCAAATTGGGATGTAAACACGTAGATAATGTGCTCATACGTTTCAATATACGCACGCAAGTCGCGGTAGAGGAGGATGGATGCCTAACCAAGACACAACCCACGACCCACGACCCAAGTAAGTGGCTTCGATTGGGGAGTGTGACCCAGTCTCGTCCTTCCTCCTTCGGCATGCTGTCAAGGCGCTGGGAAAGGCGGGGTCTTTGCGTGTTTCTGGATTGGATTGGCAGCTTGGCTTCCGCTGCTCCAGTGTGTGTGTGTGTCCTGTTTGTCTTCCTCGTGTGTGTTTTGTGTTTGTGGTTCCTAAAAATTGGACACTTAAATGCCTGACTCTTGCCTGGACCCTTGTTTACTCCTCCAACAGCCCCAACTGTCATTTTTATTCGCTGTCAATTGATACAACAAGCTGTGTGTGTTCGGTTTCGGTATAGGTTTGTTGGCTTTTTGGTTTTTGTCAAGTCAAGGATTCAGGCTGGAGGTCCTGGGTCTCCCATTAATTGCCTCCGACGAAGGACGATTTAATTTCCAATAAAATTATTATTTCGAAATATGCATAAATTGTTGCTCGACGCTGCTGCAGCGGCAATTATTTATTTATATTCAACATATGCAAATAAACACACATTTTCGCCTGTAAATTCGTTTGGCAAATAAGCGTTGACAGGACCCAACGACAGCAGCAAAAACAACACAAAACCCAGAGACCGGACAATGGCCATATGGCATGGCAAAAGCAATTTATTTTCCACATAAAACAACTTTGAGCTTGTTTGTTCCTAAGAGTCTATTAATTGTTACGACCGTACAAAAGTTTTGTATCTAAATCGTAGCTCCCTTTGACTCCTAATTTGGCAAGGACATTCACTTAAGTCTGCTTATATCTTTAGAATGTGAGAAGGAGTTTTAGTTTTTTCGGTAGAGTCTACAGAGGACACCCTTTCAAGGCAATGCATATCGATTATATCGACTGGAAAGGTTCTATTAATAATAATATCTAGTTCTTTTTCATATTGAAAATATCGTAAACTAATCGATTTTTTTTAAAGGTTGAATAAAGTTTAAATATGTTCAACAATTGTTATTTAATTTGTTTTCGTTTTCTGATTATATTGAATCCGATATATCAGAACATCAATTTATTGCAATTTACAATTACCGATACAGTATCGATATATCGATATTCTGTCATTTCTAGGACATATTCTTCGCTAAACAAAAAATAAAGCCTAGAAAGAAAGCTAAAAGACAGCGTAAAAGTAAGCTTTCATAGAAAGAGAGAGAAAAGCCTGTCCACTTGCCACTTGATAGCTGGGACTGTCCACCTCTAACTTTGCCATAAGACTGCCACCTTGTTAAAACTCCCATAGAAAGGGAAATTTCAAAAGAAATCCTTTTATCTTCTAGAGAAAAATCCTTCAAAATCCTAACCTATCCTTTTCAACTGAGACTAAACTCAACATATAGACAGTGCCAAATACCCTTCGACAAGGGTATAACAAGCATAACAAGGCAAAATGCACAGATAATAAGGTGAATGGGTGCAAATTCCAAAGGAGACAGCCTTAACGATTAACAGTTGGCCGTAAAGTGTGAATGGAAGCTGGAACGGTTGTGGGCTGAGAGCACGCACTGGCCAAAATCCCTGAACGTATAATTTACAAAGTAAATTTTAATTAAAAATCCTCATGCAATCCTCCACTCTTTTAGCTATTTTAATTGAAGCCAAATGACGTCACAGCATAGGGGGTTAGAGGCGGGTAGACGGTAATTAAGCGTGCCAGCGAACTTGACTCGAGAAATCGGAGATAACGCCGAAAGGAGTTCATAAAAAAAAAGACAGGCAAACGCACCGAAGGACGAGGGACGAGCCTGGCACGCTTTTGTGCGAATTCTTGAGAAACAAATTAAACGGGTTTCAAGACGTTTGACGTTGTCTACTCCTCCGACATTCACGTCATTAAGATACCCAGCTCTGCCGCTTTTCCCTCTCATAAATGAGTCAAGTCCTGGTGCTCCTGCTGCTCCTGCTGCTCCAGAACCCATGACGAAAGAGTTCCAGCAGCTGCTGCTGCAGTTTCCTAGTTGTAGTTCACAGTTCGGACTCGGTGTCCCTCTGGTCTTCCAGCTAAATTTTCCCTAACATTGGACACAATTATGTGTTATCTAGGCTCCCCTCCCACCGGAGCTGCGCTTATCACCTCCCCCGCGAGCTGCTGTCCAGCGCTGCCAGGATTTCTGAAGCAAAAGTTGGTAAATTTGAAGAAAAAAATTTTCAGAAATTGTTAAATATTATATATAAATTCCTTAAAAATGCCAAGTCCATAAAATTTGAATGTTTAACAAGTTACAAATATAATTAAGGAAATAAACATTTATTCTTAGTTTTTATTTTAACAAAAAGTATATTTTCTTTGTGTATTCATTTATTTAAAATTTGAAGTAATAAGAAAAATTGTTAGAAATTGCTAAATATTATTAAAAAAAATGTTTAAAAAAATGCCATGTCCGTAAAATTTTAATTTTTAATTAAGTACAAACATATATTAGAAAATAAACCTTAATTCGTAATTCTTATATTTAATTTTAATTTAGGTATTCATTTATTTTAGAATATAAATCATAAAAAGTTATTTTTTTCACTTATTTAAAGAATGTTAATTTTTTTAAATTTCCTTTTATCATTTTAATAAATTTTAAATAAATTTCTTAATACAAATATAAATTTTTATAAATTTAAATTATCAAAAATAAAAATTTTTAGATTTGTGGCTCTAAAAGTTCCCAGATCTAGCAACTAAATTGCCAAACTGGCAGCACTGCTGCTGACCAGCAAAGTCCCAGTGCTGCTCAGTGGAGCGTGCAGGAGCTACTGCGTCCTCTGATAAGAAACTTCTGGATACTGGGAGGAGTTCTCGCCTGGCAAATAATTTGCCACGCTAAATGGTAACAAAAATTATAGTGCATTGCATAAGCTGATTAGCAGAAAAGTAACACAATTAACCAACCAAAAGGCAACTAGATCATGCGTTTACTGCTAATGAGACGTTGTTTTATGCTTTTCAATTAAATGATAAAGACAATTCGTGGCAAGTCAACCGCAAAAAAAAGCATTATTATTGGAAGAAACAAGCAAACGAAAGCGCTCCTCGGGGCGTATACTTGATATGGCATTAAGTATACGCAGCGGCAAATGCAAGCAAATGCAGATGCGAACTGCAGATGTTGTTGTTTTGACCCGCAGCAAAGAGAGAAGTGTAACGCCTGTCGACTGTTTATGGGACTGGCGGCTGCTTTTGTTTAAACTTGCGTGCGTGTGTGTGTGTGTTTGTGCACAAAACTTTAACAACAATAACAACAAGCAGCAGCAGCAGCAGCAGCAGCAGCAGCAGTGGCAGGCAGCAATGCCAAAATGCCATCATTACCAAGCGACAAAAGTTTGTCCTTTTGCCAGTGGCAGCAGAGCCACTCCCCTACTCTCTGGTGCCTCCTGTCAGCCGCAGTAAGGACAACGCCTGGCAAAAGTGCTCCTTGACTCTCCTTTCGGCCGTGTAGGCAAATGAAGTGAACGGCTCGGCGTTCTGCTGCCACAGCTAAAAAATGAAATACGTAATAAAGGCAGGGGGGAGGGCCAAGGGCCAAGGAAAACAAACGCTGGAGGAACAACAAACAAAGGGCAGACCCAGTGGAACCCGCAGTGGAAAGTTTTGCACCCACCGAAAGCCACCACGACCAAGACTGTGTGTGCTGCTGACAATAGAAATGCGTTCGGCAAAAGTTGACTTTTATTTTATTTCATTTTATTTTATTTCATTCCCATTTTTGTTTTGTGTACTATTTTCTCCGCACGAGTTTTTCATTTGATTTCCGCTTGCCACACTTTTTGTGACCTCCCTTAACTCCTCCGCCAGCGTCACAAACAGAAGCGGAACTGGAAGCAGCAGCAGGAGAGCTCCTGGCCGGGTCAGCGTATGTTTGCTCACAAAAGGATTAAGCTTTGGGGTCTAGCCTCCAGGTCTCCGCCCTTTTCTAGGCAGTAGTTTTCGGGCTGGAAAATGGCTTCATTTGCATCCTCCAGTAATGATATGGTGCCCGATATGGTGAACCCAGAGAAACCCAGAGCTTTAAACACATATTTATGCTGATTTTAATGCACTGCAAACAATTTCGGAACTAAATTAAATTGTTTTATTATTAAAAATATTTTATTAGATTTTTTATATACTATAAAGTTCAGGTTAAGTCAATTCCAGCGAGTGTTTTTCTCACTCGATTCATTTATGAGTGTCTTTTACACTGGAAACTATTTGAGAGCTTAATTAAATTCAAAATATAATATACAAATTCAAGTTGGCTTGTTTTTATTATTAAAAAATATTAAGTACAAGTATTAATAATTTCTGTAGATTTTATATAGCAAGTTTAAAGTTAAAACAATTGTGGCGATTGCTTTTCTCGCTTTTTTCTACACTGGAAACAATTTAAAAGCTAATTTAAATTGATAATTTAATATACAAGTTCAAGTTCAAAAATAAAATTAAGTATAACTTATAACATAACAATTTTTTTTAGTTCTTGTAACGCAAGTTTACGTTTAAACCAAGCATTTGCCGCTTTTCTCACTCGTCTCTTACTCGTGTCTAGCCCATTCGTTCTCGGCCAGAAACGAGTCAACGGCATTCATTATGGCGCGATTTGGTATCAACTGTTCCTCAGTGAGTTCGGTGCGTGTGACAGGATCAAAGGGGCCACCTTGCTTCAAATGCTTAACAATGGACTTGCGCTCGTAGGTGATGCCGCAAGGAGTGATTACTGGATTCTTGAATATACCAAAGCTTATCGGGCATAGCAGGTAGTCGGGAATTTCGCGTTTCTGAAAGTTTCAAGGGTTTATTAAAATGTTCAAAAATTCTAGTAACTTATTAGAATTAATTGTAAGTTGCTCTTTACTCATGGATGTGGTTACTCCATACTCGTTACTCGCTACTGTTACTGTTACTGTTAGCTTACTCGCTACCTACCTTACGACGCTCCTTAAGTTTCTCAAATATTTTGCTTAGCTGCTTGCTTTTCTCTGTCTGCAAAAAGATAAATAAGAATATTATATATATAATTATATATTCATGTTTTAAGAATATATATAAATATTATTATTTATCTATACAGTAAAACTTACGCTTGTTTTTTGAATTTCCCGCCGTTTAGCCTTAACCTCATCTTCGGGCAAGTTGTTTTTAATTTTTTTCAACAGCCCCAAACGAATCTTCTTGTCGAATTTGATTAATCTGTAAACATAAAGTACATTTTTGCAATATTAATTAATTAAGTTTCTTCTTTTAATTATTACTTGTTCATATAGTCAACCAGCTCCTTTTCCTGATTAATCTCCCTTGACTCCAAGTCGAGCCAACGATTCTTGCGAGCTCGTTCCAACTTTAGGAATAATCCATTTGAGTTCCTTTGGACCTCTCGCTTGGTCACGATACGTGCTAAAATATGAAATATATAAATAATAGTATAAAAGTCTTGTATTTTATATTAACTAACCGGCCTTCAAGTAAGTGGCAACTTCTTCGATGCTATTGTTGGCTTGCACGAGTTCGGCGCCCATTAATATTCCGGCCACATATAGCATATTTCCCTTAAAGTTCAGGGCGCGACGCCAGTCCTGAACGAATAGCTCCCACTGATTAAGGTTTTTGTAGCACTTGGCTCGATCCATAAGGTGTTTATAGTTGGTCGGGTTCATATTCTGTAATTAAATATAAAATAAAATACAAAATATTAATAAATGCCGAAATATTATCAAATTCTGCTCCCGTATTTGTACTACCCGAGTACTACTTAAATCCTACAAATAATCTAGTGAAAAGTATACCAAGGGCTTACCACGGCCGCAGAGTAGCTCTTTAGGGCGTCTTCAAACTTGTGAGCCTTGAAGAGGCGATCGCCCTGCCGCTTCAACTGCTTCTCCCTAAGTTTGGCAGTGAATAAGGTGCGCCTGGACGTCATGCTGCTCCAAAAGTCTATATTTCTTCAAGGAATTTTTAGGGAACTTTTTAAGTAAGTTAATCCGTTCACCGCTTTAGAAAATATATATGGGTCGGGTTTGATATTTATTAGAAATGCGACGAAAATTGACAAACTATTCATGGAGTGCATTTTTTCGGGTTGTTGAAGATGTCAAATTCCTAGTATGTTATTTCAAATTCCGTTACCAATAAGTTTCTGTTTCAGCATCTATTACTACTTATCGAGATCGAGATGGCAGCACTGGCAACTATCGGAAACGAGTTGGAAGACACTGGCCCAGTTGGATAATATATGAAGAGGGTAAGCGAAAATTTAGTTTCATGCTCATTTTTGTTAAAAAAATTATTAAAAATTTAAAGGTAAGTATTTCAGTAAAACTGAGTAAGCAGTTTTGTTTAGCTTAGAAAAACGAACTCAGAGCAGCTTTCCGAATTGAATTTCATGCATTTAGTTATGTTAGTTCTTCCACATTGAGAGAAACAGCCAGGAACTGAAAGCGGATTCTGATGGCGATACACAGAGCGTTGGCGAGGAAGCTCAGGACGAGGAGGAGCAGGACTAGGAGTCGGGGCAGCAAAACGAGGGTGCCACCAAGACCGAGCTGGAACCATTGAAGACGACCTCCGCCTGTGGCACACGCATCACCATTTTTCTTTTATTTATTAAACCGGAATTAAATAAAGAACCTTAAAAAATTAGTTATTTTTGAGTTATCAGGAGGATGGGGGTTTTTATTTTAGGTGGGAGCATCCTATCCAAATGAGCATCACCAGTAATGCCAGTAATACCAGTAATGCAAAATAGCTAGATGAGCATCACTGGCAGATAGTGAGATGCCATTTTCTAACAAAATAGCAAAAAAAAAAAAAGGCTAGATGAGCATCACGGGCCATCATCGGCCAAAAATGCATGAATTTCAATTCGGAAAGCTGTTCTGAGTTGCCTTTTCTAAGCTTAACAAAACTGCATACTTTTGCTAAAATTCTTACCTATAATTACAAAAAATAAATAAATAGTTTAATTTAATTTTACATAGCTTTATTTATTATGCTTACAGAACTGGAAGAGCGAAAACGAGAGCGTGCGCAGCGATCCGCGAAGCACACGTTCATCCTAGTCATCATTGTAATTGTTGATTGATGATCATCGGATCGGCAGAGGTGAAGCTGGAGGAGCAAGCAGATGGGATGGCGGAGCTCAAGCGGATTGCAGTGATCGGATCTTGGCTCCGGGCTAGTTGAAGCCCAGCAGGCGTAAAGTATTGGAATATTTATAAATACATTTAAATGTGTAAATGTAATTGATGGAACATACAAATTTCAATCAATAAACAAGAAATAAAGCTAACTTTGGCCAGTCAAAGTTTGTATACCCTATATAACAATTAAAATATATCATAACTAAGCCAAAATTGCATTAATTTCGATTCGGAAAGCAGTTTTGTGTTAGTTTTTATTAATTAAAAAAAACTGCATACCAAATTTAAAATTTTAAGAAATCAAAATTTTTGGCCATTTTTGATAATTTTAACGATGTTACCCCTTACCAAACTTCGCGAAAATGGCCACAAAATCGATTTCTTCCGGACATGTCTAGAAAGATTCGCATGTTAATGCTGATCAAGAATATATATGGTTTATGGGGTCGGAAATGATTCCCTGACTTAGAAAAATATTATTTTGTATTATAAAATCGGATTTTTTATATTAAAAAGCTTCTTGATTTTTTTAAATTAAAAATATCATAGCTCGGCCAAAAGAGCATTAATTTTAAATCGGAAAACTGTTCTGTGCAAGATTTTCTACAGTTAATAAATCTGCATACTTCATTTAAAAATTTTAAAAGTTCAATTTTTTATCAAAATCAAAAATTTTAATGATGTAACTCCTTATAAAATTTTGCAAAAATGGCAAAAAAATCGATTTCTTCCTGACATATCTAGAAAGATTCCCCTGTTGATGCTGATCAAGAATATATATGGTTTATGGGGTCGAAAATGATTCCTTCTTCATTATTTTAAAATTAACAAGAAAGGAAGCTAACTTCGGCATGCCGTTGCAGATTGGTTTTGATGTTTATATTATAGATTATAATACTGACAACACTCACAAAACAGAGTTTCATTTAATTTTACCTATACTTATTATGTTTACAGTTTGACAGTTACAGTTTTACATTCCCAGCTTTACATATTTTATACATTTACCGATCGCTTCTATGGCAGCTATATGATATAGTTGTCCGATTTTTATAAAATTTATACCAAAATTCTAGAATAATAAAAAAAACTTATATCTCAAAGTAGATATAAATACGTTGAAAAACAACGAAGCAATAATTTTTTCCCTAATAATTTCCCGATCGTTCCAATGGCAGCTATATTATATAGTCGTCCGATTTTCATAAAATTTTTACCAAAATTCTGAAATATCTAAAAAATGGTGCAAAAATGTTGGAAAACAGCAAAGTTATAATTTGTTTTTTAAAAATTTATCGAACATTTGTATGGCAGCTATATGATATAGTCGTCCGATCCGGCCCTTTCCGACATATATAGCAAAGAGAGCATATAGAAGACTATATGCAAAGTTTCATTCAGATAGCTTTAAAACTGAGGGACTAGTTTGCGTAGAAACAGACAGAAGGACAGACGGACAGACAGACAGACAGACAGACAGACGGACAGACGGACATGGCTAGATCAACTCGGCTGTTGATGCTGATCAAGAATATATATACTTTATAGGGTCGGAAAGGTCTCCTTCACTGCGTTGCAAACTTCTGACTGAAATTATAATACCCTGCAAGGGTATAAAAAAGGGAAATCAATGTGGAATTGTGTGGTTTAAGCGGCATTTATTTGGGATTGTTTGGGGAAAAATCTGTTGAAAGCCAAATATATTTTTTTCTGATTTTTTAAAAGAATTTTTTGAATTTTTTAAATTTTTTTCTAAATTTTTAAAATGTTTTTCTGAATTTTTAACATTTTTATCAGATTTTTTACATTTTTTTAAATTTTTTACATTTTTTGAAATATTTAAACTGCCAAATTTGAATTTGAATTTAACTGCCAAATTTGAATTTGAATTTAACGACGATCAGTTTCAGTGTGCCCAAGTGAAGTTGTAAAACAACACCTAAATTTGGATTCAAAAGGTTTGAGTCTCCGCTTACTTGCACCGGCTCCTAAATGGTTCGAAACTTGGACTTTATATAACAGTTTATACCAGTTTTCAGTTGCTTGCTGCTGGTTTCTGTTCGCCTGTTACCCCGATTTGGGAAACGAGCAATTTGCATGGAAATGTTTGAAAATTTGGATGGGCTACTGTAGGGATGTTGTTGTAGAAAGGTTGTTGTTGCCATCAAGCTGTTGTTGTCGGCAACAAATGGGTATAAATGCATAAAATAATATATAACAGTTTATACCAATTATTATTTTTGCCAAAAGTTTTTATAACAGTTTATACCAGTTTTCAGTTGCTTGCTGCTGGTTTCTGTTCACCTGTTACCCCAATTTTGGAAGCGGCCAAATTGAATGAAAAATCTTGCTCATGTAATGTACATCAGTGATGCTCATCTGCATCAGTGATGCTCATCTGCATCAGTGATGCTCATCTGGCTATATTTCAATATTGGGAGGCAATTAAATCGGGCTTAATAGCAGTGATGCTCATCTATCTTTTTTTGCATTATTGCTAGAAAATGACATCTCACTAGCTGCCAATGATGCTCATAGCTATTTTGTATTATTATCACTGGCAGTTAATGAGATGCCATTTTGTCCCAATAATGCAAAATAGCTAGATGAGCATCACTGCCAGTTAATGAGATGCCATTTTGTCCCAATAATGCAAAATAGCTAAATGAGCATCACTGGCAGCTAGTGAGATGCCATTTACTACCAATAATGCAACAAAAAAAAACTAGATGAGCATCACTGATGCAGATGAGCATCACTGATGCACATGAGCAAGATTTTTCATTCAACTTGGCCGCTTCCCAAATTGGGGTAACGGGCGAACAGAAACCAGCAGCAAGCAACTGAAAACTGGTATAAACTGTTATAAAAAGTCCAAGTTTCGAATCATTTAGGAGTCGGTGCAAGTAAGCGGAGACTCAAACCTTTTGAATCCAAATTTAGGTGTTGCTTTACAACATCACTTGGGCACACTGAAACTGATCGTCGTTAAATTCAAATTCAAATTTGGCAGTTTAAATATTTCAAAAAATGTAAAAAATTCTAAAAAATGTAAAAAATCTGATAAAAATGTTAAAAATTCAGAAAAAAATATACAAAAATTCAGAAAAACATTTTAAAAGTTTAGAAAAAAATTTTAAAAATTCAAAAAATTCTTTTAAAAAATCAGAAAAAAATATATTTGGCTTTCAACAGATTTTTCCCCAAACAATCCCAAATAAATGCCGCTTAAACCACACAATTCCACATTGATTTCCCTTTTTTATTGATTCAAATTTGTATGTTCCATCAATTACATTTACACATTTAAATATATTTATAAATATTCCAATACCTTACGCCTGCTGGGCTTCAACTAGCCCGGAGCCAAGATTCGATCACTGCCATCCGCTTGAGCTCCGCCATCCCATCTTCTTGCTCCTCCAGTTTCACCTCTGCCGATCCGATGATCATCAATCAACAATTACAATGAGGACTAGGATGAAATTGTGATTCGCGGATCGCTGCGCACGCTCTCGTTTTCGCTCTTCCAGTTCTGTAAGCATAATAAATAAAGATATGTAAAATTAAATTAAGCTATTTAACTTTTTTTTTGTAATTATAGGTAAGTATTTTAGCAAAACTGAGTATGCAGTTTTGTTAAGCTTAGGAAAGGCAACTCAGAAAAACTTTTCGAATTAAATTTTAGGTTTTCCGCCAAATTTTGATTAAATTTTTTTATAAATTATTGGTAAGTATTTTAGTAAAAACTGAGTATGCAGTTTCAAAATGTATGCCCGATTCTGACCCTTGAGTGAAAATAATAATTTCACGAAATGAAATCCACATTCTGCTGATTCTGTTCGCCTGATACATGAAATCCAGGAATTGCTCGATTTATACTGAAAATGTCTACATTTAAGCCTTGTTTTTGCAACAACAATAAAAACAATACTTTTACAACAATATCCATTAAAGAACAACAAAATGTTGTCATTGAAAATAATGGCTTGCACTCATTTCGGCTCTTTAAATGACCAACAAATAATAGACTTAGTTTTTCAAAAAGGATTTCTGGCAGTGCAGACATAAAATGTATTTGCCAGACTGACTTTCGGACCCAAGTATGAGCACTTTATGGGTTCTGTGTTTGTTTTTCCCTGCGAGCACCGTTCCAGCGGTTACCAAAAATTCAATTGGTCTAACTTTTTGCGGCTTAGCGCCCTTTGACATCATACCCCACAGCAAGTGCTGACTCTCGACCTTTTTGGCAATTCGATTATCGGCGGGCGAAGGCCGACGAAGGTGACGCGTTGTTCCATTCAATTAAAGCCGAGAGAACCGATAGAACCGATTCGGCTGGCAGCATAAATCTCCATTCAGTTGGCGGCAATTAAAATTTATCTTTAATTGGTTGGCGGGGCCACACGCTGACTTCTTGAACTTTGCAGGCGGCAGTCTTATCGCCCTGGGGAGCGTGGCTCTCGGCACACCTGCAGTTTAAGGCACACACACATACACACACACCTGGCTATGCCTGCAAAAAAAAAAGGAGCAAAGTGTAATTCGGATTTAATTGCCTGTTAACACGCACTCGCGCATAGCGGGCACACAACCGGTAACAGCTCGTAAAAAAAAGGCTAAAGGATATACGGACGAGACCCAGATACGCCTGGTTTTTGGTGGGGAAAGGTAGAGTGGGGAGTGTGAGGGGTGACCATGTTAAGCAAGAAGTGAACAGCTCGTAATTCAAGCGGCAATTGTGACTCCTCCTCCTGGGCCAAGCTTTCCTCCATCCCAGCTCCCTGAGGCGTAGCTGCAACTAATCAACTTTTCCCAACTTTTCGCTGATAAGCTGAGCTCCCCGCGAAAATGCACAAACATTTTCATTTTTTTGCCTTTGAATAACTATTAAATTTACCATCAAGATCCTGGCCAGCTCACATGGGGAGGCGTCCTGCAGGCAGGCAGGCACACACCAAGAAGTGCTGAACTGTGCATAAAGCGCAGATAGACAGGGAGATATGTGTGGCAACTGACATTCATTACGACATAAATTCGTTTAGTTGCTTGGACCCTTAGATAAGACGGGAAATATCGAAGCTCTCTGTGCTCTATAGCCGTAAAGTACGTGCTTTGCATGTGGACTAAATGAGGCAGAGGACTAGGAAGGACCAGGCAGGACCTGGCAGTGACCAGGTGTCTGGCTATCGGTATGCCAAGGCAGCTTCTCTGGCTTCTGTGTGGTAATTTAATAAGTTAATAAATACTCCGATGACAATGCAATGGCGATGCCATGTTACCTTTGAGTTTCTAACTGGGACTGGGCCTTGAGTGGGTTGCAAGTCCTGGAACTCTTAGGCACAGCCCCCACGTACGTCCTTAACGATGAAAACATTACACAGTTTTGCCTAATTGCCCACTTAAACGTCAGTTAAGGCATGCAACTAAAGATTCCCGTACACCTGTAACCAGTACGTGCACACACGCACACTTAACACCCCAAATACACCCACACACACACTGTCAACAGTGTTGCAACAACAAATGACTTCTAGCTGAAGCGTTTTGTAAACAAATGAAACAATTAATTTGATTCCGCTCTCCAGCCAAATCCTATTAACTGCAATGTTAAAGAAATGCTTTCTAACATGAGTGGTTGTGGGGTGTGGGGGGTATCCTGGGTGTGTGTGTGTTTCCCTGCCACTTTCATGCATACTTAATTTGTCAGCTTTGGCCCAGGTTTACACCCATTTTAGATACCGTTAACTAACTAACTGTTGCGTCCAACCCGCTCTCCCTGGGTCCTGCCATTAACGCCAGCTAGGAGGGGCGGACTCCTGGCTCCTGGTTACCCATAGTCAAGTGCCTGTGTGTCCTAGGCTGAATTTATGGCCGCTCACATATGGCGCCGCAAGGTGTTTTCATTTAAATTTTAGGTACGGCTTAAGACAGGTCGAAGGCAGGAGTCCTTGAGTTATGCATTGAAATTTAAACTATGCATGGGCTCAGGGGTAAAAGGAGGAGTAGAAGGAGGAGGAGGAAGAGGAGAAGGAGAAGCAGCCTATCCTGGCAGGTGAAAGGCTCCAACTAGAAGGCTCTTCAGGCCACGCGACTCGCGAAAAGTTACTTTCTAGCCTGACAGTTTCCAGGGTCGTTGTTAGTGTGGTAATTAGAAAATTTTATGTGATTACTGGCACATACACACGGGAGCAAGGATGACAAAAAGAGCTACACACACACACACTCCCCTCGGAAAAGTACAAAAGCGGCTATTAGAATATTAATGGAATACTAAATATAACGTGAGAGGAGTGTGTGTGTTTGAGGTGTCCTCCCCCTCCTCAACTCCAACTCCAACTCGCAGAATGAATCTGGGGATCTGCGGTGACTAAACTTGAACCCTTTCAATACAATCTTTGCCTCAAGTGAAGCCAGGACAAGGGACAGTCCAGCTGCAGGATGCATCCATCCACTCTCTCTCTACGCGGAGAAGCTTTCAAAGCTTTATGCTCAGTTTTTGGCTCAAAGCAAAGGGCTGGGGGTTGGAGGAGTCCTGGGTAAGTTGTGGGCACCGAGAATAACTCAATTTTGTGCCGAGGAGTTGTTCGTGTGTTGTCGTCGTCCCACAACGACGACTTGGTTCATCAGCGTCTCGTCGCGGTTAGACGCGCACCCACAAGGCGGCACACACACACTCTTTGTCCTGGTTTCGAGATTGAAGTGGGTTCCCAGACTAGAAGAAGGCGTTAACCAACGGCAGGCACTCGACTTGAGCTGCTCGTTTTGAGCTTTTCTGGCCGTAAAAAGTGCGCACAATCCCGGCTGTCGAATAAAAAATCCGCAAGGGTCCAACCAATTGCAGGGTTCCTTGTAGTTGGATTTCAGTTTTTTTATTGGTTTTGTTTTATTTGTATCATTATCATTTGCTGTATTACAATATATGTGTTTGTTTATATATAAAGGTTTTGTTTTTTTGTTGTTCGTATATCCCACTTTCAGTATAAACATTAGGTTTCTAATCGTGCTAAAAAAAAAAAAATATATATAGAAAAACAAAACAAGAATCAACAACTGAAAGGCGTTTCGTTATGATGTTTACATACATATACATTTATCTAGGTTTTGTTTAGGTATTTTGTTTGTTATTATTATATTGTAATATTATATATTATATATATATATTTTTTATTTTATTTTTTTTTATATTTATTTCATATTTTTTTATATATATTTCATATATATATCTATACTCAGTGTTTTTCCCACTTGACAAATTCAACGGCAACTTTTAGGCTCAACTCTATTTAGTTTTGCATATTCATATCCATAGTTTCCTTTATCATTTATTCATATTTTATTTCTCAATATTCATTCTGATATTCATATTGCATTCGTGTGAGTGTTATAGCTCTTGCGATTCATTTGATGATATTTCATTGTCTTCGTTTAGGTGTTTTTTGTGGTATATTTAATGGGTTTATGGACTAACATAGATATGCCATTACATAATGATCCTTGCGATATTATCTACACGAGAGCCTATATGGTTTTATATACATTATGTTACTGTTACTGGTTCTGTATAGGTTTATGGGGTATCTGATCTGCATTTAGTTTATTCTTCTATGAGGTTAATGCCTATGTCTCTGTGTGGATTTAGTATTTATATTTACTAGTACACAACATCCAAGTGTCTAAGAAGCTCTTGATTTTGTTCTTCGAATTCTCTGGGTTATCCATACATATGTGTGTGTGCCTCTAAGTTAGTTAGTTATATTCCCTATGTTACATTTAGCGTATAAATAATTCAACATGTACTCCTTAGAACCTCCTTCCTTGCCCGAAGCCTTGGTCCTGGAATCATCTGCAAACCGTAGAGTCATCGCCGGCACAAATCGAGTGGGGAGCCGCCAGGAAGAGCTTGCCATTCGAGCAGGCGCACAGCTGGAAGACCCGATGCATATGATCCCGGCTCTGGGCAGTGCCCAAAATGGGTGGCTGGGCTGTACGCAGGTTGGGCATTAGGATCTTGGAGGACTCCAAGCGGAGCTAAGGGAAACACAAAATAGAACAAAACTAAATAGCTCTCAGCTCGAAAAGTAAGCTCCACTTGTTCTCTCTCCTCTCTCTCTCTCTGATCCTTGAAAATCATACTTACGCTTCCATCTAGAGCTCGGAATTTGACATCCTCGAGGGCTACCACTTCAATGCCACCAGCCCGCGACTGCAAATTAATGTCCTTGGCCGCCGTCATCTCCAATTGCCGGGTGGGCGATTCGAGTCTGTAATTAAATCAGTAGACAGGAGAGAGGCACACCGACTCGGTTAGTAACCCTGTCTGCCTAATGAAACGGAAAGTCGCTCTGGCTGATTTAAAAACATTGCAATTTCAATTTGGAAATGGTGGACATCCTGTGCCCACACACAATTTGTCAGCCAGAGAGAGAGCTATCACCAAATTTGTCAATGAAAATGTTATTACAAGCCGCCGATCCTGTTAATGGTTCATATGGACAAACAGGACTCGCACACACAGAGGGAGAGGATGTGAGAGAGAGGAGGCACAGAAGGATGCTAGGATGGCTGGGTGGCTTCGGTGGCAGTTTGCAGGTAGGATAATGCAGTGGCAGTCCTGGTCCCCGTCTCCCCTTTCGGCTTTAGTCAAACAGGAAAAAAGGTCTGGCCCCTTTAGCGCTTTTTAATTCACTGCCGCCGTTTGTGTACATTCAGACAAATGTGTATAAATATTTTCACTCCCCAGGACAGGACAGGCCGGGCCAGGACAGGCCAGGACAGGCCAGGACTCCGTATCCACTGAGCTGAATAGCGACACCTCGTAAAGAGGCGGTCCTCAGACCCGTTGCAGTTTGTTGCAGGGACCCCGTGTTGTTGTGGCTGGGTTGTTATTTTTGTTTTGTTACCGAGTGTGTTTGCTTTTCTTTTTTTTTTATTTCCCAGTTCCCCCCCCGTGAAAAATTTATTACACTCATTGAATTTCAACACCGCGACGGTGGAGGATAGTCTGTACCCCCAGCAGATTGGCTTTCGATTTCATTTACTTTAATTGGGCAACACTCACCTGAGCTCTCGTCCTGGCTCTGCGCGGACATGCGGCGTTTGGACCGACTCCCGAAAGACTGCACCACCCTCGCCGTCGATCCTCAAGGCATGGGCACCAATGGTTACCTCATTCCGGTTCACCGAGAACAGGCTACGGCCATTGGTGTCGTTGATGCGAAATCCCGCGGAGAGGCACTCGAACTTGTCGTGTCCCAGAAATAAATGATTCTCTATCAAACCATTCGGGTCACGTGTATTGATTGAAAAATTACGTGATGATTCTAAGCGAAAAAAGGGGAAAAGACAAGAAAAGAGAGAGAGATGGATTTAGGAGAAGTTCTTGAGGGTTTTTTTTTTTGTTTTATTGAGGTTTAATCTTGGAGTTTGTATGACAAATGCGTTTAATTTCAGCAGTAATTGCTATATATGTAAATAAATAAACACAAAACAAAACATGTAAGGACATGTCTCTGCTTGGTTGGGGTTAGTTTGCCAGAGACTGTAGCGGAAACGGAAATCAAATCCCTTGGCCGCCAAAGCCATCGCTCTCGGTGCTATCAGTTGGCAGCTATCAGCTATCGCGGCATTGCGCGTACCTGCTGGGCCAACGAGTCGTCAGTGTCCGCGGCCACACACACACCTCACACACATCGCACACACACCCACACACGTTGTACCCACTTCCGCGTGCGTGTCTGCGGCTGCTGCTGCTGCTGCTTATCGCTGAGGCTCCTTGCTACCCTGCCACCCTGCTCCTTGATAGCATTTTCCTGTCAACACATGCACAGGACGAAGGTCCCTGGGCAATCGCATCCGTCTTCTTTGGCCCTGCTTTCATATGGTTTATCTGTAATTGTACATCTTGGATGTGGGAAGATAGGTGAAGGAGAAGGAAGAGGACGAGGAGGAGCTGGAAAAGGAGCAAACGCAGGAGCCAGGAGCTACAAGCAGGAACAGTAGGATAAGCAGGAGGAGAAGCAGGAGCAGAAGCATACCCACGACAAGGAGTTGATTCGAGGACCTTAGACCACCCATCAGCGATCTCATTTGCCGACGCTTAGCATCTCTGATTTCCTGCCTCACAGCCCTGTATCTCTTGATTTATGTCTTGACGGGCAACGGCACACATTTGTCGCCCACCAGGTCTCCGCCAACTCCTACTCCGCCTCCGCCATGAATGGTTCACCACCTCAGGCAGGTGAACAAATGGCTCGGTTTTCTCCTTTGGAGGCTGCATAATAGCCGCGCGAGTGCAGTTCATTAAACATGCGCCGGGTCCAGCCATTCAGGCCAGTCACCGTCCATGACTTTGACATTCAAAGGAGGAACCAGGCCAGAGGAAAGGAGAACCACAACCACATCCGCACCCAACCCTGAACCCTTAACCCCCTGCCAATCATCAGTAGCGTGAAAAGTAGAAATTTATGAAATGAATATTAATAGGCGAGGCGGGGTTTGACCGCAGATGTTTGTCCCCTAATCGAGGCACCCCTAATCGAGACTCCCCCCTTAGGCGTTGTACATCCCCTCCTCCACTCACCTATGGATATGGGATGACCATGCCGCGAACGTATGGTAGAGGCACGCAGCATGTCCATAATTATGGCCTGGCCCGACACTTGTATGCCGCCAGGTACGATTTTCAGCTGTCCCATGCCCTCCTGAAATGAATCGGGCATAAATCGGGGGGGTTAGATAGTTGATTAGAGACCGGGAAACCCCCTATCAATTACCGTGGAGAACTCCATCACTTTGAGTATCCAGAGGGTGAGCACCAGGTTGGTGATAATCAGCAGCATCAGGAGCAGGAGCAGCGTGTAGAGGCACTTCTTTCGCCAACCGATGAGGCCCAAATAGGTTTCAATGCCGCCCACAAAGCCCACGTCCACATGGGAACGGTTACCGGCTCCAACAGCAGTGCTGCGTGCTGCTGCAGCTCCACCTCCACGGACATGGCCATGACCCTGACTGACCGTAGCCTTACCTGTGGAGGAGGCTCCTGCTGTTACCGTTGTCATGGCTCCCCTTTCCCCGTTGTTCCCCCCCTTTGTTGAGGCAACTCCCGAGGCACTGCTCTGGTGACCGTTTCCGCTGGCTCCGCTACTGGTGCTAGCTGTCATCGGACCAGGACGCTGGTGGTGGGATTGGGGCCGCTTGGGCGTTGTGCCAACCGAGAGACGGTGCTGCTGCCTGCCTGCTGTCTCCTCGCTGGTTGCTGGCAGACGCCGCAAGGTGGGTCCGTATTCAGTGCTGTCACCACTACTGCCGCCGGCCAACATTGCTGCTTGGAGCTATTGCACCGCCGACACCGTCGTCCTCCAGGAGCAGGTCATAGTTGGTGGGGAAAGTGGATCTCTAGCCCAAAAAGCTCTCAAGATCTTAAGCCTTAACCAAATCCAGATCTCTGTTGAATATCCCTAAAGAAAAAGGGAAACATTAATGTCAAACGGGGTTCACTTGGGACTTTGGCAAAGGGTTTATACTATATAAACTATGTATATTCATAAGTTAATATATATATAAATTCGTGGAAAATAAAAGCCCTGGCTACCGCATGGAGCGCTGAAAAATGCAAGCAAAAATGGGGGAAAACGGGAAAATCGGTGCAGAAAAACGTTAAAACGGAAAACGAAAATGAAAGCGAGCATTTAAAATAAAACGATTTTTCGGTGCCTATTGTGATGTTCTTTGAATGCGGCTGCCAACTGCGGTTACTTTCAATCCCAGCAACCCCCTTTCGACGTCATGGCTCTGAATTTAAAGCCCCCAAAAAATGTTGACATTTTAATGGGCATAAAATGTGTTTAATGAGTTTTAATGAGAGGTCAGCAGAAAATTCTAAGGAACGTTAAAAGGGCTTTCATTTCAATAAGCTTATTTCGAGGAGAGATCGAAGCAAGTGGGCAGCCCAAATGTCAGCCTGTCAAGCGATCAAAACAAGTGGGCAGCCCAAATGTCAAAAAGAAAATGACTTTCTGTCAAAATGGAGTTCCGTGCGGAGTTTTACTTACTTTGGAATATGTTTTATAGTTTTGCTAATAAGCAGCAAGATTTTAAAAATATAAAATAAAATACAAATAATTTAGAAGAATTCTTTAAAAAATTACCACCTTGCAGGGTATTATAATTTCAGTCAGAAGCTTGAAACGCAGTGAAAGAGTCATTTCCGACCCCATAAATTATATATATTCATGATCAGCTTTAACAGGCGAATCTTTCTAGCCAAGTCGGAGGGAAAGCAAATTTTTGTCTATTTTTCCAAAAAAACATAAGGGGTTGTAACCATCATTAAAATTGTTTAGAATGATCAAAAAATGAAACTGAAAAGAACCTTAAAATTAGTATGCAGCTTTATTAACCTTCTAAAAACTAAAACAAAACCGCTTTCCGATTTAAATTTAATGCATTTTTCGCTTAGTTATGGATTTTTTAAGTTTGGTGTTTTTTATAAAAATTTAATAACATTTCTTTATAAAATTTTAGTTAAATATTAAAATTAAATTTAGTATGCAGATTTTAAAACCTTATAAAAAGCAGCACAGAAAAGCATTCCAAATGAAAACTAATCCATTTTGACCTTAGTTACGATCGAGTTCCTTGAACCAATTGCAAACTGCTAGGATGCATATCCTTTCGAAGCTCCTTTCTTGTTTGAAAACTATATAAATCTTTAAGTAACCCCAGACAGAAGTAACTCCAAATAGTATTTCCTCAAATTGAGACGCTAGCTGGGGGCCCTGCCATAACGGGCAGATGTCCCCCCGCCTGTCTGGACTTTCGGATGTCTTTGTATTTGGATAACCATAAATCTGCCCTGCCAAAAAGGGTAATGGTAATGTGTCGCCACACACTCGACGTAGTCTGGATGTGGACTGTGTGGACTGCCACTATAAAATATGCACCAGGCTGTTGCAGGTTAGTCTTCACTGGAAGCACCCAGCATTCAACAAAGTTGCTACAGGACCTGGTCCTGGTGCTGGTCCTGGTCCAATTGCAACTGCAACTGCGTCAGTTGATGACTTTAGTGGCGTCAGCTGTTGGCGACTTCACACGTGCAGCTCTTCAATTATGCATGCCTGCAGCTACGTACATTTATGTGCATGCAGGTGGGCGGTGAACCACCCACTTGCACACACGATGCATTTACATGCATGAACCCAGCCAGAGAGTGAGTGTGTGTGTGTGTTATTAAACCATTCTGTCAAAAGAAATCATAATAAATAAAATAAAAAGTCATAAATGAATAAATTATAGACTTTTTGCTCATGAGGCTCATGAAATAAATAAATAAATAAGTAATTCTAGCGTAGGAGAGAGAGAGAGAGGGAGAGAGAGCAAGTAAATTATATTTTTGATATGTCAAAGGTAATCACTGAAACATGGATTAAAGGTGTAAAAGCAGCAAGGTGACACTACCAGCTAAAGAGGCTAACAAAAACCTTGGATGATAGCTCAAAAAATCTCTAAAAACGTATTGTTTCCCTTTATAATTAGCAATACAAATTATAATGTAAATAAATTGAGATAAATCTTTATATTTTATATAGTTTTTGAATGCCTTTAAGCTGGTATTAGGGATTGTGATTACGTATACGCACTGTCAACCTCACAATTTGGCTTTTTGTTAGGAAAAATAAATATATTTAATAAATAAAAAATATAAATAATAAAATATATTTAAATAAATATAATTAAAAAAATATACCATAAATAAAAAAATATAAATAAAAAAATTATAAATAAATAAATATAAATAATAATATAAAAAATAACAAAATCTAAATTAAAAAATATAAATAAAAAAACTAAACTCCCCAAAAAGTCTCTAAAAAAATATCTAAAATTAGAGACTCCATCAATCTCTCGACACTTTCTTGAGCTTTAAGGGGGTCTTCTCATTCAAAAGCCGTTTTTTGGACCCTTTTTAAAAAAATTCGTATTTGAAAACGCAAAGAATAATTGAAAACTTTTTTTATTTATTGTATTCAAAAATGTTCAAAGTAACTAAAAAAGTTGTTCTTGCCTCGATACGAGGGTTGTTCAAAGAGTAATGAGACTTCAAACTTGGTGGTCGAAAAAAAAGGTGTCGTCCTGGCGGCCACGATTCAGGGTCTCCAGAGCGTCCGAAATGAAAAATAAAAACGGGGTTATAATCAGAATAGATGTCATTTTCGGCTGACGGAACAGATTTTTTTTTTAAATTTTTAAAACAAAATGGCGGCCATTCAAAAAAAAATTTCGATTTCGGGCTTTTTTTTTTGTAGTTTAGTGTAAAAAAAAATAGAAAAAAAAAATTAAAAAAAAAATCTGTTCCGTCAGCCGAAAATGGTGACAATTCTGCGTCGATTTCACTTTCATGAAAATCGGTTCAGTTGAACTGGAGATATCATGGCCGCCAGTTCGAAAAACGTGGTTTCGAGATAAACGCGTTTGAAGTTTGAAAAAAGCTCATTTTGCGAAGAACTTGCTTCACAAAAAGGCTGTATCTTCTAAAGTATTTCGAATTTCTAAAAATCCTTTTGGGGACATATACACACCATCCCAAGCTAAAAATAAATGCAAAAAAAAAAAAAATCGAAAAAAAAAAGTTGCCCAATGAGAAGACCCCCTTAAGCTAAAAAAATATAGATTTCAGCTTGCTCTCAATAAAAATATATAAATAACTGTATAGATAATACAGTTCTTGCGGCGGCAAACTTATTTTTATTATACATTTCGTTCCGTTTGTATGAATGTATGAATGATGATCGCAGGGAAGCCAGAGCCCGAGACTGTTCGAATAGCCACCACATGTGTACACTGACTAATGGCCCGTAAATATGTATATATTTTACGATCTCCATATTCTCTGTTCTTCAGCTTTTGTTTATATTCTTTATTTCTCTTCTGGTTTTGTTTTCTTCTTTTTTTTTAATGAGAATGTTTATTAAGTGTGCGCAGCTTTGGCAATTACTTGAACTGTTTATGGTTGAGTTTAGTGCATTCTAAGTGGCGAAGAGCACAGAACAGGGCTAAAGATTTGTGATTTGGACTGAAATCAGGGGAGATACTAAGAAAGAGAGCAAAGTAAATAATTTTAAATGGAATTTTAGGGGGTTTTTAAGGGTTTTTAAGGGAAAAATGTATTTAATTTGGAGTAAAACCACTACACTGGTCCCTTCAATTAGCAGGCTAAACCTTCCCCTAAATTTTATAATTAATTTTGAAATATATATATGAGTTAAATATATGTAATCTGTATTAAAATCCTGGTAGAAAGCTATGCCAGAGAGAAAAATGAATTAATTTAAATCGAAAACCTTGAAGTTTTACTGAGAAAAATTCAGTTCCACTTTGTTCAAGTGTCCCCCCAAATTAGCAGGCAAAATTTCCCATTTTCTGCACACACTTAAATTGTATTATTTACTTTGGAATATACATATATATTTTTGTTCCGGACAGTAACAGAACCAGGAACAGCAGCTGTAACCAGAGTCACAGACGTCCGGGACCAGGGATCGTGCTAACCAGGAATGGTTACACCGAGAGTTGAAGTTGATTTAGTAGCTGCAGACAGTCCGGTGGCAGTGGGATCAGGATAGGAGTTGGAGGAGGAGTTAGAGTTGGAGTAGGAGTAGGGCTTGGAGTAGGACTTGGAGGAGCATCACGTACGGGACGTTACAGCAAAGTTGCCGCCACCGCTTGCTTAATTTTGTTGCTGCCACTGGCACACGTTTTTATGATTTTTCCCTGGCCTGGTCACGACCCAGGGAGCAGCAACACACGTTGCCTGACTGCCTGCCTGCCTGCTGCTGGCTTTCCGTTTACATTGTGATATTCGTAGGAAATTACTGGCAGGAAGTGCTCAAAAGTAAGTGGCTTCAAGTGGCGCCAAAGTCGCAGATCATGGCAGAGGTTCCACTCTCTCTCTCTCTCTGAGAGCTGGGGAAAGGCTTCTAATTTAAAGTCTAGGACCAGGACCAGGCCCAGTTACCCACTCCACTTCAAGTTCCTCCCCTCCCTGGTTTATAGAAATGAACTCGTAAATGGAAAGTATTGCATTGTCCTGCTATTAAGTTATCAACAAGGAGAGACACAACACGGAGGCAGACATGGCCCGAGACCCCATATGCATATGTGTGGTTGGGGGCTCAAAGGGTTACCGCCAGGCAGCGTAACGGGGGCACGTTCCAGACGGGTTCGGGTTCGGGTTTGGTTTGGGTCCCAGCCTAGGTCGTGGTTTCGAGGATAATACTCCAACTTCAACTCCAGCACACACACACACACAGCAGTTTCATATTTTGCAACAATTTCATGTAGAGGAAGGTGCCGGCAGTCGGCAGTCGTTGTAGTTGCCACACTTAATGGCGCTCGTAGTAGAGACAACACTTGTTGTCATTGTTGTACTCGCTTGTGTATATATTGTTATGTCCTTGCTGCCGCCTGCAGGACATTTTTATTCCAATCATGCGTAAGTGAGGACGCAGTCGGTGACTGTAAAGCCCCCAAACTTTGCCTCTGCGAAATAAACTAATGCAAACGAACCTTTGCCGGGGTCTCCAGATGTGCCTGAACAGATGAGCAGGAAATTAAGGACGAAAGCTAAAGCAGGCGAGACCTTGAAGATAATTTCCCTTGAACCCCTTTTCAGTAAACAAAATTTTACAAAAAAAAAAAAAAATAAATAAAAATAAACCAATCAATTGACACACTTGTGTGTCTAAGAAAAAATACATAAAAAAGTTTGGCAAGGCTCCAGATTGGCTGGACGCCGCAATGAGGTAAGCAGGAATTATCACAGAGACTAAATATAAATTTTAGAAAAATAAAGAAATAGCTGAGAAATTAGGAAAGTTAATAACAAAAAAAATTTTAAAAGTAAATAATAATAAAAAGAGAAAAAGTACAACAAAAAATAATGAGCAAAAAACCAGAAGAAAAGTAAACTAAAACCTAAACACAAAAATATAAACATACAATGGCAAAAAAATAAAAATACAACAAAATATAAACAAATAAATAAATAAATAAAATAAAATATAAGAAAGAATAATAACAAATAATAAAAATTAAGAATAGTATTTATATTAGTATTATTTTACGAATAAAATAAAGATAAACATAAAAAAACACTCTCTTTAATTAAAAAAAATAAATAAAAATAATGAAAAACACTTAAAAAAAAACAAGCTCTTTAAAACAACTTTTAAGTGCCTTTACCTATATCTACATCACGTATACGTACTGTTGCCCTTCTACTAAACACGTTTATAAGCCATTAAAAAATAAAATAAATTCAGAAAGCACAATTAATTAGAAATGGACTTATATTCTTAATAAACCAGAAATTTTATATGTATTTTAAGGGCTTTTAAACTGATATTTCTACAGTGATCCAATATAGGTACGGTTTGCCATTCAATTTATAAATAAATAAATAAACTATGAAACACAATTTCCTTACAGCATGTTTTAGCTGCCTTCAGGAGGATTTACACTGCGTATACTTATTGTTTTCCTTTAAATTAAAATTGTTATTAACAATACAAATTATAAATTAAATAAATTGAGATAAATCTATATATTTTATATACTTTTTGTATGCCTTCAAACTGGTATTAAGGATCATGATTACGTATACGTACGGTTTACCTCACAACTTGAATTTTTTGGTAAAAAACTAAATCATAAAAAATATTCAAATAAAATAAATAATAAAAAAATATATATACATTTTAAAAATATAATAATTAATAAAAAAAAAACCTAAACAACACTCTATTTAAAATATTAATAAATGTTTTTAAATAGCCTTTCAGAAAGATCAATATTACGCATACGCACTGTTACCCTTCAGCTAGAAACCTTTTTAAGCCTTGCAAAAATTAAGAAAAAAATCCATAAGCACACTCTACTAACCCTTTTAATAAACAATATAATTTATATATTTTTTTTCATAAATTTCAGGACGATCAAAATTACGCATACGCACTGTTACCCTTCCCCTAGAGGCTTATTTTAGCCTTGAAAAAATTACGAATTAAATCCAAAAACACACCCTAATATTTAAATTAAACAGAAATATCCCTTTAATTTGCCACCAAAACCCCGATGATCAACATCACGTACACGTACTTTTCTATTCTTGCAAAAATTAAGAAATAAATCCATAAGCACACTCTACTAACTCTATTAATAAACAATCTAATTTATATATATTTTTTCGTAAATTTCAGGATGATCAACACTACGCATACGCACTGTTACCCTTCCCCTAGAAGCTTATTTTAGCCTTGAAAAAATTAAGAATTAAATCCAATTAACCAGAAATATCTTCTCCATATAGTGTTTTTCATAAATTCCCTTTAATTTGCCACCCAAAACCCCGCTGATCAACATCACGTATACGTACTGTTGCCCTAGAAACCAGCAGCCGACGTATGGAAATTCCCTTTTACACGATCACCGCCAGATCAGAGGCCCCTAAACAAGACCTCCCACGGCGATTACGACACACACACTCGAAACACACACACAAGACGAACACTCGCAGAGACAAGAGGCGATCGCGGCGCTGACCTTCGCAAGTTTTTTTTACCAAGACTTTATAGTCTTCACCGAGCAATAGTAATAATAATAACAATAATACTTCACACACACTTGTAAAAACAAATACCACTGGAAAACAATTGTTTTCGAAACGTAAATCGAAATGGAAATGGCAATATCGGGAATCTGGGGAAAAAACCGGAGAGAGCAAAAGCGGCTGCCGAACCGCACTCGTACACGCTGGCACAGCAACTGACGGCGGCAGAGTTACTTCTTGCCGGATTTTGCTGGCCATGGCCCAAAGTCAGCCCGAAATTCATACGATTCGTTGCGATTCGCAAAAAGCTTTTCGCCCGAACGTCAAAGGCAGGAGCCGAGCGAGTTTCACTCAAAAATCGGTTGGCTGTTGGCTCGTCGCCGTTCGTTGTGGCTTCGGGCAGCACTCGACCTCGACGAGTGGCGGCCCGGCAGGCTCCAAGTGGGCGGTTTGTTTACGTTTTGATTTCTTTTTTTTCTAAAGGAAAGGAGCAACACGTGGTTGTGGGAACCACGTGTTGCTCTCCTGCTACTTGGGGAGTTCCAGGTGTGATCTGGCTCAGGTGTTGATTTGGTGAAACAAAACAAAAAAACCTGATTAAAGTTTCGCCAGAATATTTGTAAATTATTCAGAGTGCTCCAGGACCCCCTTTATCCTTGGTCTCTTCTGGCCAGGCCTTGTCCCAGCGTATTTATAAATTAAAAGCGTGTTCATCTTTGGCCAAAGTTCATAATTTTTGCGCCTTCCTTAGGAGACCCAGCCAGCTGCCAGGCACACACACATGGAGGAGGTTTGGGTCCTCGTAATTGTCCTTGCCAGCAGGAGCAGCTGTTGTTGGCCTCCAATTGTTCCCGGGAGGAGGTAGCATGGCAGCACGGACTATGGACTATGGACGATTCTTGCACAAAGGCCCAGGAAAAACATTAGGAAGTAAATGTGAACAAAAAGGCGCCACGCCACGCCCCATACACACTTGTGTGTATTGTTAAAAGCTGCGGCCACTTTTTGCAGCTGCTCTACGTGTGTGTGTGTGTGTCTCAAAAAGACCTTTGTAGCCCGGACCGGGTTAAAATTTAAGTTGAGACAACGCCCACTCGGGCCCACAGCCCACCCTTCGGGCTGTTTCTCCGCTTGCCGCACATGTTAATTGTGCTCCGTATCCGGATCCGGTCCTAGGATTGCCTGTCCCCAGTCCCCCCGGTTCCCATCCTCTCCTTGTCCCTGTCCTCTATCCCTTTATGCATTCATAATATTTTAACTTGTTTTCATTTGGATTTGCCTCTTGGATTTTGGGTAGTTTGTAGAAAATAATGAGGCCCTGGCTCTCTATGAGCAAGTGGTGTTCAGGCTTAGCCCACTAAAAGTAATTAGTGAGGGGTCCTTGGATGATCTTAAGAGGGAGCTGGCCAGGGTTTGCTGCAGGAATAATATGAACCTCAAGATGTTTATGGGAATGTACGTAAAACAAGAGAAAATATTGAAAATAGCGTCAATTTTTAAATATTTAATATATAAAAAAAATTAGTTAAATATGTATTAAATATTTCAATATAGTAGAAAATTTATTTTAATTTTAAAATATTATATTAAGATATTTAAAATATATTTATTATATAAAATAATACATTTTTTATATTAAATAATTGATTTTTAAAGTATTTTAACTTAATTTTTCAATATTCAAAATATAAAATATTTATCGTTAAAAAGAAACCAACATTTAATAAACATTTTAAGGATATTTTTCGGAATTATTGATATCCCAAAAATTTTTACTTATTATTTTCTCTTTTTCGATTACAATTCTTCGATATATCAAACAGAATACCCACTTATCGCCACGTTAGAGTAATTATTTTTTGTTTTAAATTAATTGGTAAATAATATTTTTGACATATTTTAACTAAATTTATTAGAATCTATAACAACTTTTTTACAGTGATTTGCCACGTTAAAGTAACTCCCTATTAATTTTTCCACAAAATATCGTCTTATTATCGATATTTCGATATTTTCTTTCTATTTTAAGATTTTTGCTCTCAAAATTTCAGCCTTTGAAAGGGGAAATAGTTTCTTTTCAATTAGAAAATTGTCGTGCCTTGGCTTTATGCATCTCGAAGCTTATATTATCTTTGGTTGGGACACCTGACCCGCACTCAGACCTCCTCCCTCCCCTGCTCCTCTGCCCTGGTAATGCCAATGACAATTTATACAAATGCCAAGCAAACAGTCGTGCGTCAGTCCACAGACACAAAAACACACACACACCCTGGGACAGCGACTGCTCCTCCTCCTGGCTAGTGTGTGTGTGTGCGTGTGTTTACCTGGACACTATGGGGCGCCTCTCTCTGTGTGTGGCTCGCAGAGCTGTGCAAACAATCATAAATAAAGCAAGCAATCAAACATACTGTTGTACACTGATTACCCTAATTTGTATGCCACAATTTGACACATGACAATTGACACTTGGTTACAATGGGCGGGGCGGCCGGCAGGAGGCAGACTAGCCACATCAGCAGGCACAGCACATATTTGGCAATCATTTATTTTAGAGCCAATTGAATTTTAAGTAGTCAAACATGCATATGACATAAGTGGGCACACAAAGCACGCACACACACAGGCAGGATGCATGGTGTCCTGGCGATAAAAATGCTTCACTGGCTGCCACCCACCCCGCCCCCCTAAAAACATGGCCATAAATATGACAAGTTGAATTCATTGAATGGTTTCATTTCATTGTGGGTTTCGAGGCAAAGCTAATTGGCCAAACTATTTTGGCTTTAACAGCCACTAAATACGGCATATTCCGGCAGGACTCCCAGGAGGTGGGCTAGGGATACACCCTTTCCCTTACCAAGTGTCGTGCGAGTGTCATCGCAGATTAAAACTCGAAATTGATGGGGCCATGTTTGCAGTTTTATTATCATGGCCCCGGGACACGAAGGTGGTGAGTAGGCAGGAGTCGGAGAAGGACTCCGATTTCGAGTCTATCTCTCTTAATTCGATTTTTTGAGTTGAGGGGTTTCGAGGACAGGTAGCCCTTCCTCCATCCGTCCATCAGTTGTTTCCAAGGCAAAGTTATTGTTGTCGCCTGGCTTTGACATGGCTGGAATGCTGGGTGTGCCTGCTTCCTGTGCCAGCTCCTGCGCCAGCAGTTGCTCTTCCTGCCAAAAATAAACCCCCAACCCCTCCCCCCACAGCTAACCATCGCGAAGTAGGAATTTTTCACCCAATTTTTTTACCCCTGCAGCAGCAACAGCAGCTTCTGTTGAAGCGAGAGAGAGCCCATGAATAATTCCACTTCAATTCCACTTTGTACATTTCATTTTTGCAGGCAGTGTGCATCAGCGACAGACAGGAGGACGGTGGACAACCTGGGCAATTGGCTTTGATAGGGCTTGGCTCTGGGTCCGAGATTCGTACAAAACATTTTCCAGCTTGCTTTATCCTCTTATTAATTAATAACAATTCATAGGCCACACCCATTTGCCGGGCTTGACAGCAAAGCCCTTCGTCCAGGACTAGATAGGAGTGAGTGAGAGTGAGAGAGAGAGTGTGTGTGCCCTGTGTTGTGGTTCGTTTATGCCATCGCTCTGCACTTAAATAAACTTTTGTGTCAAAATTTTATCAATTATTCAGTTAAAATGCACTGCAAATCCTGTTAAAAATCTCCTGCTACAGCCTGGGCACAAAAAATAAAGAGAGAGAGAGCGAGGAGGAGGAGGAAACCATGTCACTGGCCACATATGGCCATTTGTCAATTGAATGATGGGGAATATATGAATTTATGGCATTAAAATCTTTTGGTTTTTCGGCCGTTTGCACCAAAATGAAAGGGAAAATGGAACGAAAAGGCGCAAAACCGGAAAACAAAGAGCGTTCTCTCCCATTCCCCACATCTGTGTGTTGGTTGGTGTGAAAGCGGACAAAAGCTGACTAGGTTCAGGCTCGGCAAAAGCGGATTATTTGTAAAAACAAAACAAAGAATACAAAAAAAAAAAAAAAAATAACAACAAAAAATCAGACGGAAATGACTACAAAACACACTGCAAATAGCCAGCGATATGGCCTGGCCAAATGGCATTATTGTCGCATTCAAGTCAACTGAAAACCCAGCCGATTGCCAATGCCACAGGATGTGAGGAGGCGGGGGCGGCAACGAAGCTGGCGAAAAGGTGAAGTGAGCCGACAGCATTAGCCACATTGTGTCAGCAGTCAACTGCCGGTGGCTCGTCATGAGTGCGTAACGAGCAGAGTGCCTGGCTCCGGCTTAGGGAGTGGACTTAGGGCTTGGAAAATATTCAGAAATTCAGGATCTTTATCCGGAAGTATTGGTTACAAATAAAATATAAATTACTAACTTGAAAGGTTTATCAAAGTAAGTTTATTCTACAAATCCGAAATAAGAGCCTTTTCGTTAAATAAAACTCATAAAATAATAAAAATAGAAAACATAATAAATAAATAAAAAGAATAAAACAAACTAAGGTCTCTGCACATGAGAATACTGTAAAGACCCTGATCTTGTCTCATAATAATTTTAATTATTATAATATTTTTTAAATAATTCAAATTATTAATAATAATTTAAATTATAATTATTAATAATTATTAGAAATATTAAAAATAATTTAAATTATTATATTATGTATAATATTATTTTTAATTATTATAAATATAAATAGTAACTTATATTAATAAAATACTATTTATAATTATTTTAATTATTAATAATTATTTAAATGATAATTATATTATTTATAATGATTATAGATATAAATAATAATTGAAAATAAAATATTATTATTAAATATTATTTACCTATAATTATTTTAATTATTACTAATAAATAAAAATATGAAATGTAAACCAATACAAGGCTGCATCTTCTAGTAGGTGCTAAGCCTGAGGTTTAAATCCGGCCTAACCAGATGCATATCCCCTGGTGGGTTTATGTATCATTGTTTCCATTTATCCCCCTCCACCACTTGTGTGTGCCACCCCATGGGAGTGCCTGAGCAAGCACTTGTCTAAGCGATTTTTGATTACACTTCCGTCGGAAATTATCATATATCCTTCTGCTTGAATAATTTTCATGGAAATGCGCGCAAGACAGAGTCAAAGGACGAGAACGAAAGCGAGGTGGAGTTGAGGAACATAACACCAAGCCTACTCTGGTATTTTCAGATTT